ATTTTCATTTTAATAAAATATTTCACACTTTTTTGGGGAATAAATAAGCTTACATTAAATACTGAGAGTATTAAAAGTATCCTTTTATAATCTACTACATAATTCTTACAAGTATCACACAGAAAAAAGCTATTTCATTCTGGTACTATTTATCACCCTACTGACCTCTGCTGGTCCAACAGGGGAGAAGATACTGCAGATGTCTTCCTGTCTTTCTTGCTAGCTGAAGATGACTTGGGGCTTGATTTTCGCTTTGGTGATTTGCTAGACTTTCTTAAAGAAGGTGATGGAGACAATTTTGATCTAACCACATCTGGTGAAACCTTTCAAAAGAATTCAGTAAGTCAAATTAGGAAATTCCTCCACTCCCGGTACAACAAGACTTACAGTATTTTGAAATTATACCCAACTTCAGATTAAAAATTAAGTATTATAGCCACCATCTGTTGATAAGTCTGACTCCTGAACCCATGCTGTTACCAATATGATAATTAACTGCCTTAAAATACACTAATATCAATAAAGCAAATTAAAATTATGAAATTTTAAAATTTCAGAAAAATCACAAATTATATCCAAATAAATTGTATCTCTATTCTTTAGAAAAGAAACAAGGCATTCTAGAAACAGCATGGGCCCAAAACAGACATATGTATTGTATATCCAAAGCCCATTTTTTATTAGCTGATGACTCTAGGCAACAGAGCCTCAGTTTTGCTCACCTGTTCAATAGCACAAATATTTCCTATTTATCTAATAGACTACTGTGAAGATCAAATGATTAACATATATGGAGTAACTGATATACAGTGAGTTGATCAATGATCAGTATCCTAGTATAATTTAAGATGCAGCAAGCACCTGAGTTATCTGACCCATATCCATGTTGCTATTAATTACTAACATATTTATTGTAAAAAATAGCATACCTCCTTTTTAATGATAATTTCTTCTCTCTTCTCCATGTTTTCTTGCTCCAGCTTCATTAATTCCCTCTGTATCTTTTGACGCTTCATTTCCAATGACAATTCATGAACATAATCATAATTAATATCTCCATTGTCAGAATCTTTAAAATAAAAATTGAATTACTATCGGAAACTATCATAATACCCCAAATTACAGAACTTCAACTTTTTTTATACAAATTTAAATGGACGATTCTTTCGTCAGAATAACACTTCTAAAAGAAATAAATACTGTTTCTATAAAGGATAAAAATCACCATGATTGATTTCTTTAAGAAAAGCTAAA